TGTGATGAAGGACAGGTTTGGGAATTTTCCCACAATAATATGTCTAAGCTTCGAGCTTCTATTAAAGTTGTTGATAAGACCTTGAAATTATCAGATCTGCATTCGACTCTAAATGAGAAATAACCAGTAATTTTCATTTAATGAAATAAGCCTTTTCTCTTAATTAATATTTTAGTATTACTTTACTATGTTTACTTAGAGCTGATATAGCAATATAACAACCAGGCATTACGAGTCATACGACAACACTTAGACCCACATTGGTTTCGAACTCTATTTACCTCTTAGACGTGAAGCTCAAGATGGTGTTGCCTTGGCTTGAGTTGCGGTCTCCTTTATGGGTGTAGTATTGGTTTATTTAGTCTTCTCGTAAAATTAACGAGTTGACTAGTAAATACGAGATGTATTCACGCTATTTCGTTTAAGGTGATGAAGGACTGGTAGTAGAATTTTGCCATATGAGTAGAGCTGACGCTTCCATTGAATTTCATATTGCCTTGCTTTCCCAAAAGTTGTTCTCATTAATGAGAAATAGGGTAAATACATCTTATATTACTGATTTACTGGTAGTCTCGAAACTCTACTCAAATACGAAAATTAGTAAATACAAATTTGTTTTGCATATATAAAGAAAGGCAGGGTTTCATAGGCCTTGCTTATCTTGAGGTTACATCTGTCGTCTGACTTTCTGACATTCGGACTGTGGCTAGATTGTTGTGTTGCTAATCAGCTCCATAAAAAGTATTAACTAACCTACTTTGGACAAGCAAATACATTTTTAGGCTAGACAAGGTGAGATTCTTTATTATGGTTATCCTTCCCTCCTAGTGGTAAGTTATTATCTCTATCACCATAAGGCGACCTACAGTGACCATCCTAAAAATGTTTGGATTTTGTGTTATTCATCCATTAATACTTTATTATATATATAATTTTTCATAATTTAATGCATTTTGCTACTTAATTTGTAAATTATTATACACTAACCGTCACTGGAATTAAATTTCCTATCGAAGCTATAAAGACCAAGATGTTGTGGCCTCTGGTATGGTCGCACTTCTATAAATTTCCTATCATTCATATTATGAATCTGCAAGTGTTAAAATTGGGCCAACCTTTTCGTTTTGAGATAATTAAGCCAATTCTTATGATTTTATTTCAGAACCATCACTCGAGTCATTTAATTTATCATATGTTAATCCTATTTTATAGCTCCAGCAACAGTCGCCGACAGCGCAGTCGTGTCTCAAACAGCCGAAGACGTCGCCGTCATCGTCGCTCATCCTCTTCTTCCTGTTCATACACCCCCAATCGACCCCCTGGCCATGATCGTACTCCTGCTAAGCGTCGGCGTCCCTGTGCCACTGCTACCTCTCAGCAGCATTCCTCTCGACAACAAGCAGCTGTCTCTTCAGGAACCGCAGTGTCAGAACGGTCCTTGTCTCATGGCCATTCGCGTCACCAGACATCTAGCCAGCCTCGAGGTCCCCATCATTCGCATTCTCAAAAGCATCAGCAACAACAACGTCGCATGCAGCCTACGAAATCCGTCATCGGTCAGTCTCTTCTTGCTTCCTCTCTCTCTCAGACTATAGTCAAGTTGACTCCTGGTGATGATAAGCAAAGCGCTGACACCGACACTGCTACTACGGCAAATGATGTAGCGAATATCCACCATAAACCAGATCCTTCCAGCCGACAGCTGATAGTGGTTGATTCAGGAAAGAATAGCCAACAACAGAAAAAACAACAAAGGTTTTTGCGATGTCGGCTACGCAGGCGTTTCCACAGACATATAGGTGAGGAGACTGCAGAAGAGGATGAGGCTAAAGAAGCTGAGTCGAAAAGTGAGGAAGCTGTTGTACCAATGGACGCCTCAGAAGACAATACTGAATCGTCGGGAAGGATAGTGACTATGGCGGAGGCGTCTACTGGTGTAAGCAACTTGAAGCTAGGCGCTCCATCCTCTGACCCAGCAGAACGGTGGACACTGGAGAGGTCAGATGAAAAGTCGAATCCAAACTCACATAATAACTCTCTTGAGGTGAGTAGGTACCTCGGTGTCATATTGCCGTTACCTCATTTTGTTACTATTTTTAAAATATACTTTATCATAACTTGTGTGTAGCTCTAATGCAATAAGCAATAACTTGGATTATTTTAAAATTTTTTATAGTATTATAAAAT